TGCAGGTCGAGGCTGCGGTGGCCAGGAGCGGCCACTGCACTCCAGTCTGGGTGACAGAGTGAGACTCCAATTCAAAAAAAAAAATCTTTTGTTTTAAGCTAATCTAAATTTTTGCAGTCATTCTTTCATGGAAGTGAACAGAATACAATAAAATGCTTTTTTTGTTGCAGAGGGGGAGAGGCTTGATGCCAAAATGAAGAGGCTAGAATCAAAGTACGCCCCGCTGCACCTCGTCCCGCTGATTGAAAGACTGGGGACCCCTCAGGTAACATGTGCTGTGATGGCTGCAGCTGTTGCAAGGTGGGCGTCCACACCAGGCCACTGGCTGGGTCAGGACCCAGACCGGAAGGCATTGTGAGGTCCAGCGGGCCACTCAGCTTGGGCCCCAGTGTCTCCAATGGCATCTGTAACAGGAGTGCTTCCAGAGTGATTGTGGAGTTTAAACATGCCAATACATGCAAGGGCTTAGCACACACCTGGCACTTAACATACACACAGCAGATATCACTTGTCATATCCATCCCTCATGAAGAAGCCTTCTCCATAAGTGTCTAAGAACCGAATAAACTGGGACAGGAGGCAAGGTATTGGGGAGAGTTCTACAATTCTCAACCTATGTCCTGTTAGTCTCTCCACCTCAGCACTGGTGCCATTTGGAACAGAGAGTCTTGGATGAGGGCGTCCTGTGCATTGTAGGATGTTTTAGCAGTATTCCTGGCCTCCCACTGGATGCCAGTAGACCCACTCCAAGCTGTGACAACCAAAACATGACTCTGGACGTTGCCAGATGTTCCCCAGAGGCAAAATTGGTTAAGAATAGCTGTACTCAACTCCCGCCTGTGAGGTAGACTTCTTCTTATGAGATGTATGGGTGATTGCTGATATATTTGTTCTGTTGACGTTTGCACCTGAAAGTCCTCTTCTGCAAGCTGAGGTCATTTCCCTCCAGACCCCTTAGAGCTGGCATGGTCTGGTGCCAGCACTCCAGCTTCCTGCTGTGGCCCACAGCATCCCGCCTTGTCTCTTCTGCAGCAGATCGCCATTGCGCGAGAAGGGGACTTGCTGACGAAGGAGCGTCTCTGCTGTGGCCTGTCGATGTTTGAAGTCATCCTGGCCCGGATCAGGACCTTTCTGGATGACCCCATCTGGCGGGGGCCTCTGCCCAGCAACGGGGTCATGCATGTGGATGAGTGTGTCGAGTTCCACAGACTGTGGAGTGCCATGCAGTTTGTCTACTGCATTCCTGTGGGAACACACGAGTTCACAGTCGAGTGAGTGCCTGCCCTGACCAGCACTTCAGGATAGAACACGTGTCTAGCAGGGATGCAAGAGCTGTGGGGCAGGGGCCCTAGGCTGATGCAGGCAGCCGCTCCATAGGAGGTTGCTGAGCGGCCTGAAAGCCTCCCAGGCAGAGCTTCTTACATGATGCCAAAGGGCTCGCTCAGGCCCCTTATATTCAGGGAGGTGCTGAGCCCTGGCACCTATGCAAACGGGGCATTCTTCTAGGTGGGAGGTCTGTGAAGTCATTCTTCACGGAGGGCCTCTGATCTAAAAAAGGTTAGGAAACAGCGTGCTAGAGGGGTCCAGAAAAGATATTCACCAAAAACAGAAGAGTTGCTGGCTGCTTGGCCATCTCTTCCCTGCTGTGGAAGTTGACCGCATGGGCAGACACTCATGCAGACGACCCGAACACGGACATTCGGAGACAGACTTGGGAAGGACTCTAAGTTGTATTCACCTCCCATCCTGTTTCTCGCTGCTTGCTTCCAGGCAGTGCTTTGGCGATGGGCTCCACTGGGCTGGCTGTATGATCATCGTGCTTCTTGGGCAACAGCGGCGCTTTGCTGTTCTGGATTTCTGCTACCATCTACTTAAAGTTCAGAAACATGATGGCAAAGATGAGATTATCAAAAATGTGGTATGTAGACAAAAATCTCCCACCATATGTGAACATTGTGCAAAAGTATACTTTCTGTTTATTGTAAGTCCTTGTTTTGGGGGAATGTTTTTCATCCTAGTACATGAAGTGCCACCAACTGAAGCTTTCTTTTCATTTTTCTTTTCAATCAAAAATATAATTGGCAAGTAGAGCCTGGCAGATAACACTAATGACTCCATTTTCCTCCTCTTTTCAAGGTACCTAGATGTACTTCATAGCACAGGCTCTGTTTTCAGAATGTTGGCAGACGGTTCCATTCTTCCAGCTCCCTATAAAAGTGTGTTTTGGCTGCTTTTAAGATCTTTTGTCTTTGTCATTGTGTGGATTCCTTGTAGTTGAATTCTAGAAAATACTCAGCCATTATCATTTGAAATGCCTTAGCCTTTCTTTCCATTCTCATCACTCAGGGATCTAATTAGACATGTTAGACCTTATTCTACTCTCCACATCCCTCACCCTGTTGTGTTAGTTTTCTATTGTTCCAGCCACAGATCGCCTCAGCCTCAGTGGTTTAAATACCATTTATTATCTCACAGCTCTCCAGGACAGAAGTCTGGGTACAGATGGACCACACAGGTCCTCTGCTTACAGTCTCACAAAGCCAAAATCAATGTGTCCATGGTACCGTGTCCCCGCTGGAGGCTCAGGATGAATCTTTCAGGACCATGCAGATAGTTGGCTAAATTCCATCCCTGCAGTTGTAGGACTGAGGTACCTGTTTCCTACTCCCTGTCAACCCCATTTCCCCTCATGCCTTCCATGCGCCCTCTCCAGCAACAGTGGGTTGAGCCATCACAGCTTCTGATCATCCATGTTCCCTACTACCACAACTCTCTTGCCTCCAACTGAAGAATGTTGTCTGCTCATGTGATTAGATTAGGTCCACCTGAACAATCTCAGATGCTCCCCTATCTAAAGTCCATAATCTTAGCCACATCTGCCAAGTCCCCTTTGCCATGTAAGGAAGCAGTCACAGGTTCTAGGGAAGTGGGTATGGATGTCCCTGATAGACCATTCTACTCCCCAGGCCTCCATTTCCTTGGCCCTCAGGGCTGTATCTGGGGTACTCCAGATGTTTAACTAATTCACTTCAGCTAGGTCTAATCTGTCAAGTTTTTACTTTCAAAAATTGTCATTTTATTTTTTAAAATTCAATTTGGTCTTCAAGTCTTGCTAGTAATTATCATCATCGTAACAGAATTTTTTTCCATCTCATTTCTTTACACAGTTCATGTATTTTATATTCTTTTAATTCTGCTATCTGAAGGCCTTGAAGGTATCTAAAACTGATGTTTCCTTGTGTATTGGATTTCTTAATTTGAGGGTCCTTATTTAATTAAACTGAATTTAGATTGCTTTCCTCCCAAGCTTTGCATTTTCTTCTGCTCATCTCTGGGGGCTGTTACCGACCAAGAGCCATTTCGGCCTAATGAGAGGGTCTTGGCTTTGTGGGAACAGTCTCCTGGTGTAGTCCACTTGTATGTCCAGCCCCTGCTCTCACCCCACTGCTGCTGTTAGTGTCTGCTCTGAACCTCTGCTCTACCCCTGCATAAGGCAGAAGTAGCAGTGCTTTTGCAGGTGTTCTGTTTTCATGTTCTTTATTCACTTCTGTATGGCAGGAGGGCCTGTCAAAGCATCCTTTCCACAACTGCTAAACTGAAAGTTTAAAACTTAAGTTAGCCAGATGTGGTAGAACACATCTATAGTCCCATCTACTCAGGAGACTGGCACGGGTGAATCACTGGAGCCAAGGAGGTCAAGGCTATGGTGAGCTGTGATTGTGCCATTGCACTCCAGCCTGGGCAACATTGAGACTTCGACTCAAAAAAAAAAAAAGTAAAGTAAAGCATCCTAATTTTCATTGCTGTAGCCTTTAAAGAAGATGGTGGAGAGAATTCGCAAGTTCCAGATTCTCAATGACGAGATCATCACCATCCTGGACAAGTACCTGAAGTCAGGTGATGGGGAGAGCTCACCAGTGGAGCATGTGCGCTGCTTCCAGCCACCCATCCACCAGTCACTGGCTAGCAGCTAAGAGTGTACACAGTAATGGCATGTCTTTTCTTTCTGTAAACTCCTTAGTGAGATTTTTAGGGACCATTTTTCAGTATTTCTGTACCTGTTGAAGGGGGTGCTTTTCAATCTAAAGGTTAATTTTATAAAATTGACTTATTTTTCTAGACTACAATTGTATATGCTTTTGGTAATTATAAGTCTGAGAATACTGGCTGCTGATTGTTGCCACTATGTTCTTACAAAATTATTCTTTTTCTATGGAATGTTCTAGCAGCTCACTGTCATAAAATGCTGCTGGGCTTATTCATTTATCCCTTAAGAAACTTAATATCAGAAAATTGTACTAAATCCTTTACCAATTACTGTTAAGTTTAATGACTAACTACTTAGCTTTTGTTTAGGGATCTTTCCGATGGTCTTTTATGAACAATCTTTTCTAAGTCATAGTTCCCATCCTGTTTTTGTGTCAGCATTTTGGAAAATAGTGAACTTGACTAAATCCAGTGTGATAAAGTCTAATCTGTGAGGTATGGTTGAAAGGTTATAGAAATAAAACCAATGAAATTGACTTGTGTCTATTCATGTGGCTTGAGCATCAAGCTCATAGGCTGGGCTCCAGTCAGCATCCAGGTTGCTTCCATGATACCATTCCACGTGCTGCTCTCTTCAAAACAGCACACATGTGTAGCTTTATATTCAGGTTTCTGGAGCAACTGAGATGTAAAACAGCAGCTGTGTTGGCTGTGGTATCCCTGCTACATGCTCCCGTGACCTGGAGGCCAGTTTAGAACAGACTTGGTCCAAAACTTCACCTGTATCTAGACCACTTATGTATCCAATCCTGACTTGTGCCCCACAACTTTAAAACAAAAAAGTGAAAAAAGAAAAAGAAGATTGGCCTGGGATGGGGGTGCTGCACTAAAGGGACCAGGGAGAACTTGAGTCCTGTCCCCAGCAGCCCTCAGCTGTCCTTCCTGACTGCTTGGGTGAACTTTATGTGGTTGGAGTGGGTCCACGATCTGCCAAAACAAAAGATAATCAGAGTCTAGTCTACTACTGAGATCATGGAAATGGGTGAGACTGAAACTAAAGCAAAGTTTTAAAGGACTAAGCAACAAGTTTCTGAAAATCCTAATAAAATGGGGGGAAAGTTGTGCCTGTCTACTGTAAATGAATAACAGAGATAGATACAAGGCTAAAATTATTAACTGAACTCACTTTACATGTTAGCCTGGCAGTCATTTTACATTATTTGGAGTGGCACACCTTCACCAACCCTAAAATTTTCTGTGAATACCATGTAGCCATAAAATATAATAGAGTACTTTCATTATGTCGTTGGAAACCGAACACCAAGGTCCAGGAGCATCATGCATGGACAGAGTTTATGAATTGTTCTGCTGTACTGTGAGTCTTAAGTTACATGAGGTTTAACTATTCTTCATAAAAAGTTACCTAAAAATGTTGCTTTTGATAAATGAATTAATAACCCTTGGGCCAGCATTCCACTACAGATTTAAAGGGGATATCTGTGCTCACCCTAGGAAATACAGAATATAATGAAAAAATGACTAATTAATGACTAAATAGTTTGCATTACCAAGTTCTAGAAAGCTTAATTATATACCCGGTATAAAATGTATTACTTAGGTAAAAGACAATTTCAAGTGTTATAAAACTAAATAATTAAGAATTTATTAGTGTGAATTAACCTATGAATTATCAGTGAGGGCCCTATCACCCCCAGGGGGGTGAAAACTGGTTCCTTTACGTACAAAGCACAGAAGTAAATACAGTACATAGACAGTTATACAGTGTATCTGTGGTATTAAAGTTATACTGAGGAGGAGGCAGTTAGGGAAAAATGTCTAAAGCAGCTCCGAAGAGGGTCAGTAAAACCAAGCTGGAAGAAAAGGCAACGTACAGGCAGACGACGGAGAGCTGCCCAGGGCAGCAGCACCATAGGGAACGGTGGCCCCTGCCGATCCCACACCCCCCACCCCACCGCAACCTGAGGCAGGAGCAGCCGACCAGACAGTCCAACACGTTCTTCCTATCTCCCAGGTAAAAATGAACTGTCAGTACTCTTAGAGGCCAATCAAGGGCTATGAATGGACAGGTTTTAAAGCTGGATGGGTTCCATTGCGCCTTTTTAAAGATTCTACCTTTTTTTACATATGTTTGAAATTTTCTGTAAACTTTTTTCATAAGCATTTTTTAGAAATCAAAACATATAGTAGTCCAAACAAACTCTTAAGCAAAGTATGCGGTACAAAGAAACTATATTTTATAAACATTTTAAGTTTGTTCTTAGCATTGAGACTTAGAAAAGAACTTCATTTCAACTTGTCTTTTTATTATAACGTGAGCTAAATTTAAGAAACCCTAGTCTTCTGATTTTATTTCCCAGCGCTGTTAAAAGTCTAAATAACAATATAACTCATTATGAATGCATACTGAAAAGCACAAGAGCGAATGTCAAGTGGTAATCAAAGTTCCAGACATCGTGGGACTTGGAGAAACTAAAGAATAAGCTCAGCCAGGTTGTTAAGCAGAGCCCAGCGTGACAGGTAGGATGCAATGGCTCAATGAGGTGCTAAGTAGACCATCCAATGCACACGGGAAACCCGATTCATGGTGACAAGTCACAACCTGAGAAATATTTCCTTGGGATGATTCCGTACCTTTTTTTTTTTTTCTGCTTTCTAAGAGTTTCCTTCATTCAGAACTTCATTTTTTAACATTTCAAAATTAAAATCATTCATCAAACATGAGTAATTTTTATAGGTAAGGTAAATCACAGGATAACATATTTGGATAATTTTGTTCTTTTTAAAATCAAAAAGCCTTACACAATCAGACTGCTGGCATAGGGATGACAAATGTCTATTTCCGACTTTTATCACCAATGAAAAAATAAAGCATTTTTACAGACTTAAACTGTTATTAGTGCATTTAGATTTTGGAGACAGAATCAAAATGTAAAATACCTCTACAGTAATACAATGTTAATAGAAATCAGTATTATACTGAGGTCATTTTAGTAAGCTACCATGGTTTAAGTATAAGAAAAGTAATTTCTTGGTCCAAATTAGTGGAATCTTTAAAAAAGATTGTCTTTTAAAGAACATTATTTGAGGGCAGTGTCTTTTCAGACACATTCTAATATTCAAATTCACTTTAGATCAGGTTATAGATTAACCTTTTAATTACATTTTTCTTAAAAAGCTGTGAGATTTCCATTTCTTCGGGAGATGTTTTCACCAGTGTGTTGTTCAATTCCACAAGTCAAGCTTTCTTCATTATTATTAAGAACTTCATACATATTAGAGAGATTGCCATTCATTGCTTTTTCGTCTTTTCGAAAAGACACAGGCAGACTTGCTAGACTAAAGCTGACGTCTTTAAAGGCATGCAGCAAGAATATCCCCACAATGATTGTAAAGAAGCCACTTAAAGTGCCAATGACATCATCAACAGGCATATCTTGCCACTCCTTAAAAAGAATAGCTGAACAAGTTAAAACTGATGTTGTAAAGAACACATAATATATTGGAGTCACAATGGACGTGTTGAATATATCCAGGGTCCCTGTTCAGGTAATTAATCTGTGTGCTCACACAGATGATGAGGCTCAGCAGCAGAATCCAGGCCAGCGGGTGCCGCAGCACAGGCTTTCCAGCAAACAGCTCTTTGATGGCAATGCCCAGGCCCTTAACACAGGAGACTGAGAATGCGCCAATGACAGAGCAGATTGTTATATACACAAGAATGTTTGTCTGTCCATGGCGGGGACCCACCACGAAGATTAATATCAAGGCCACAATGACCACAAGTGTTGCAAAGACCACAAAACCTGGAAGAAGCAAAGAAAAATTCTATTTAGTAAAATGTTTAGTCACATATTCTTAAGCACAGAGAATCTAAAACAATATACAATAAACTCAATAGGAAGAAGAAAAGGCATGATCTGAAAATAAAAATCAGCTTTATTTTGCTGTCCCAGAAGAAGCACACCCATAAAAACTCAGATGCACACACTGAAAGATAAAAATATACACAAATTGTTTGCCACCAACATGTTATGCCTACTTAAGTGCTCTAGCTCACAAAGCAAAAGGGATGGTGGGATCAGAACAGGACAGAAACTAGTGGAGGAGAAATCATGAGGTGGCGCTGAATGGTCAACAATTTAAAGATCCTAAAAAAATGAACAGAGAAGTTTCTAAGTTTTCCCTAAAAGAGGTAAAATTGTAAAATATATTTAGGGACAACTGCTGGAATAAACAGCAACTCAATGAGAGAACTTGAGAAATACTGCTGGAGTTCTAGCTAAACATAGAGAGCTGAAGCCAGCATAGTAACAGCCAACAACTGTGGAGCACTATAGGCCAGGCACTTTTCTCAGCAACTGACACTCAACTACCCTATATATGACACAGATACTAGTATTTACGTTTTAAGATGAGGAAACAGGCACAGAGAAGTCACGTGCATTTACTCTTTTCCTTCCTCAAACTTCACTAATAAATAGTAACAGGATTTTTAAAGAGGCAAATATAGAAAGAAAGAAAGAAAAAGGAAAGGAAATGATAATATTTTCTAAGTCAGAAAGCAGAGGATAAGTAATAACAGATAAACCCGAATCCAAGATAAGCAGTGATCAAAGATTATAAAGCAACAGTTTGCAGCACAGAACGCTCAAAAGGTACAAAGTACCTCTGAATTGGGGGTGAAGGCAAGACTGAAAGTGAGGCATGGCTGAAAAGTCCAAGAAGCAATGAGGAGGGAAAGAGGAACATAAAACATCAAGAAGGGTACCCAACCTCAAACCTCAAACCAGGTAAAGTGGGGACCAAGAGGAGGCCCAAACTTCACCTGTACGATGACCACTTATGTACCTAACCCTGAATTGTACCCCACATCTTAAAAAAAAAAAGCAATGAGACCACTATGCTATTCTGGGACACTGTCCCTCCCCTGCCACAGGGAAGACAGCAACTGGAATAAGGCATGAATGCGATCTACTCCGCTCCCTAGATGCTCACAGCCAGGCAGGAAACCAGAAGCTTTTTGATGGGTATCTAACCAGGCTACCTTTTAAATAAAAGAAAGCAGTCAAAGAACACCAGGAGAGTAGTCAAAATGAACAGAAAAATGCAAAGCCTTTGTTTCTTCCATGTAGTAAAAGGAAAACTACAAATAAACCACTCCACATACACAAAAAAACTATTAATATCCTCAGAGACTATGATGAAACAACAGACTAACCTTGCACCCAAAACAACTACAAACAATGAATCAACTACTAGACAATAAAAATCCCTAAACAAACAAGAAACGTTTATGTGAGGGCCTCAAAGAGCAATCAAAGTAGCCAGGACTTAAGGTGCCAAAATTCAGAGAAAAGAGAAAAATCAGTCCAATACTTACTTCTGCTTTTTTCCTTGGGGCAACTGCTAGGGCAAGGAGTAGGAACGGACACAAAGGCCAGTCAAAACCTGTGGGAGTTTCAGGAGCCTAGATCAAAACAAAGTGGAACCTGAGGCTGCCTAAGCAGCTGGGACTTCATAGGCCAAGACCCAGGAAGGTGGAAACTAGAGGAGATAGCCCAGATTCCCATGTGCATTTCCCTCATGCCATCTGTGGGCAAGTAAGCCACACAGCCTCAGCCAGAGAAGCTGGGTAGGAAGCCTGACCCGGAGGCTGCAGGGCTAAGCGGGGTTTCAGTGACCCCTGGAGCTTCCTTTCAGCTCCTCAGGTGAAGGGGCTAAAGCCAGCACCCCAAGCTATCAGTTGAGAGCCAAAGGCTATGAAGAAGAAGAAAGGCAAACTGGAAAGAAACCAGACCCAGCAAAGCTTCAAATAATACATTCAGGGTGAATGAGATCTGTATTCTTATCTGCCTGCCAAAAGAAATTTAACTTCTCTCTGAAGGAAGGAAGCGTCACCATACTTTACACATTTTATATCCATGTCCAGCATTCAATCAAAAAGGCCAAATGCGGCCTTTGGGAAGCTGAGGCGGAAAGATTGTTTGAGCCTAGGAGTTTGAGACCAGCCTGGGCAACATAGCAAGATCTCATCTCTATAAAAAATAAAGAAAAATCAGCTGGGCATGGTGGTGCGTGCCTTAAGGGGCTAAGGAGGGAGATCACCTGAGCCCAATAGGTTGAGGTTGCAGTAGGCCATGACTGTGCCAGTGTACTCCAGTCTGGGCGACAGTGAGACCTTGACTCAAAAAGAAAACCCAAAAAACAAAAAAGGCAAAAGAGAAAAGCAAATTCCTAAAAGCCAGAAAAAAAAACCCCACAGAAACAGGTCCACAAATGACACTAATAGTAAAGTTAGCAAGCTGGGCTCGGTGGCTCAGCCTGTAATCCCGCGCCTTTGGGAGGCTGAAGTGAGTG